CCCGGGGGAAAAATTTTTCTAAACGGGGGCCCCCCAAGGGTTTTTTTTTTTTTTTTTTTTTTTTTTTCGCCCTTTTTTTGGGGGGGGGCCGATTTTCCCACCAGGGAAAAGGTGTCCAGGGGGCCCCCAAAAAAAAGGGGGTTTTTCCCGGCCCCTGTATACCCAAGGGGGCCCCTTGTTTTAAAAAAAAGGGGGGGGGGTCCTCCCCCCCGGAAAAGTAAAAAAGGAATTTTTTCCCCCCCCCCCCCAAACGGGGTTTTTAGCCATACACAATTTCCGGGGGGCCCCCCCCCCCCCCCCCCCCCTGTACCTACCAACACGCCTCCCTTTTGGTGTGTTGTTGTCGTCATTGTGTTGTTTTGTAACTTTTTCAGATCTTCGCGACGAGGCTCGAGCTGCGGTGCTTGCCCACCTCCTGCATGGTATGGACCAGCAGGCCAAGAATGGCGTGACGTGGATACTGCAGGTGGGCGAGAGGAAAGGGAGATACTGTAGATGGTCGGAGAGAGAGAGGGAGAGGGCTGAGAGAGCGGGAGAGAGACAGACAGACAGAAAAGACAGCAGAGACAGAGACAGAGACAGAGACAGAGAATTAGTTTACAACACCCTATTATAATCCTTTTCTACGGCAGGTATTGGTTCTTTTTGACGACGGTCGTCATGCCGACAGGTACATTTCTCTTTTATCTTTCTGTTTTTCTCACCCTCGTTCTTGTGGTGCACGCCCTTCTTTTCCACTCGCCAGGACAAAAGGAACGTGCGCGGGGCCGTGCTGCGATACCTCGACGCCCGCGATGCCTTCAAGGCCACCAGGGCTACCTCCGAAGACAAGGTGATGACTGGTGATGACTCTCATACATGACCTTGCACAAAACGGCAACCTACGGGGGGGGGGGGCAAGGGGGTGACATGGTTTCCTCATGATCAACCATGCGCCGTACGTACCATGTTGATTGAGAGTCCGAGGGCGCAAACAAAGAAACGGTATTATTTCTCGAGATTCATTATTTGTTCCTGCGGGACTCTTTCGCAGTTATCCTCTACGATTCTCCTACGGCCTTTGACGCTCAACAGCAGTCTCGTGTCACCGCCTTCATGACAGGTCTGTCTCTCTACGCCGCAACGCCTCGTATTTTCACATTATTGCTGACCCCTTAAACCACAACAACACTGATGTCATGAAGAAACGGTGTCGTTAGTCACGAGTGGCGCAGGTGCTGTCTCCCTCGCATCGAGCCCCTTACACGCCACCGGCTGCTGTTGCCGAACTAACGTGCAGGCGTTGGAGGCCAAGCTGGACGCGGCGATGGCCGTGGTGGCGAGGTTGCACCCGTCGACCTCGCCCTCGGGAAAGCAGCTCACCCTGCTGAGGGACCTGGCCCACAAGCAGGACAAGAAGGTGCGGTTGTAGATCCGTGTACCTTTACTTGACGCCAGACGTGGCTAGCCCTGGCTGAAGGCAATGTTACACGACGAGAAGGTGCGGTTTAGACGTGTACCATTTCTTGACCGCGGGCGTGACTCTTACCTCTCTAACATTTCAGGACAAGAAGGTGCGGTGTAGATCCGTGTACCTTTTCTCGACCCCAGGCCAAAACCCTGACACGTGAGAGGACCAAAAGAAGGTGCCCATGTATCCGGACGGTTTCACTTTCCTGATGGGCGCGTGGCTTCGGCTGCCAAGCGACCGTAGGAAGAGCGTGCCTGCTGCAACGAAGCATTCGTTTGGAGCAGAGCTACTAATAGTGCTGTCTGCTATGAAGAAGCCCTGTAGTACGAGGGTCAAGCACGCCATGGATATATAAGTATGTTTTTTTCTTTGGTTATGCAAGAAATTCATTGCCGACGGCCGGCGAGTACACACTGCCATCGATCCACAGAGAGAGGATTCAGACAGGAAGAGAGAGAGAGAGAGAGGATTCACAGAGAGAAAGACAGACAGACAGACAGACAGACAGACAGAGGGAGGTCCCACAGACGCTCACTCGGTGTGTTCGAACAATATGCGCCGCAGACTAGGAATTTCGGGGTGCCTGCTTGTTGGTGATCCTAGCACTGGAGTCGGCCGACATGCGCCGAACACCAATACCCGTGGTCTTCTCGTACGAAAAGCGTCACTACAGTACAGTACAGTTTTGGCGCTCAACTCCCTCCTGTCTGATAGGACGCCGCCCGACGGTGTCTGTGTGTCTTGATCTCCCCCCCGCCCCCCCCCCCCCCTCTCTTCTGGTACGCCGACCCCCCCCCCCTGGACCACAACGCCGTCCTCACCGTACCGCACCCCACCCCACCAAACCTCCTCCGATTCAGATTTTCCGTCTTTTGAGGACGGTGTGCTCTCCCGACGCGCCGCACAGCGTGACCGCCGCGGCGCGCGTCGACCTCATCAAGAAGGTCGGCACCCAGACTGGCCTGGGGATGTACCTCAAGACGCTTTCCACGCGGTGGGTTGTTGTTCGTGGTGGTGTTGTTGTTGCTGGTGGTGGTGGTGGTGGTGGTGGTGGTTGTGGTGGTGGTGGTGGTGCTGCTGCTGCTGCTGCTGTTGCTGCTGATGTTGTCGTTGTTGTTGTGGCTGCTGTTGTTGCTATTGCTGCTGTTGGAACTGGCGGTGGTACTATTGTTGTCTTGACAATGAAGACCGTTCCGGTCTCTACTCGAAGACCGTTCCGTGTAACGGTCCAACAGATGCGGACGGGTTCCGTGCTCTACCCGCCTCCCCTTTCTGATTGCTCCACCCTTGCCACCCTTGCCTCGAAAAAATAAAATCACCACGCAGGTGCTCCGCGTTGGCGATGAGCCCGGCGGGTTTCCAGGAGCTGTGTCTGGCGTGCCGCAGAGGCATGGAAGAGGGGGACGACGGTGTTTTCCTCCCCCCCCTCGGTCTGCTAGAGGCGATGGTGAAGGTTTTTCCCGAGCAAGCCAGAGGACAGGAGGGGAACCTGGCCTCCGTCTTCCTCGTCGCCGAGGTAGGGCAACACAACACCACTACGACAACACTAGCTCCCGGAACAGAATGTCCTAAACCAGCAGCTGGCAGTGTTGTCCAATCGTACGTCTAGCAGTCCCTGTGCTCCAGCACTGCTGATGCTTCAACGTGATCGGGCGCAAACGGAATATCCTGCGAGCAGCTGCCTTATCTCGGCGCGCATGCCTCCTCTCCTGCGCGTACGCAGACATACTCTTTGCCATATAATATAAATGCCCACTTATTCTATCAACTCCAATAAACACCAATTTCAGACTCCTCCCCCCTTTGGTAGGATCCATCTGAAATACTCGCTTTTTTTTTGTTTATTATTTTAATAGTTTATGGTCATCACATGTCAGTCATGGTTTGCAAATGTTTTTCAGGAATCTCAAGACTTTTGTTTGGGATGTCTTTGAGAGAGCTGTTACAAATTTGTACCAAGTTATTTTTTTGGTTCGTTGGGGTCAAAAACACGCCAGGTGTTCGAGCTTGGGGAACGTCACTGATGGCGGCTGGCAGCTGATTCACACCAACACATCATGCTTTACTTTCATCTTGCATCACGCCTTCATGACGCTACTACTGTGCTGATTAGCCCACTCCGGAGGCGCGCCTTGTACACTTGTATATTGCTTCTTGTGATTTTTTTTACATAAGGGGTTTGGTATTGCCCTGGCTGCTGTGCGTGGCGGACGACTTTGTTTTTGTCTGAAGGAGCCAGCGTCTTTCTTGATCGATCGACCAGTGCCAAATAGTTATGTCGCGTCTTGGTGGCCACGCTTTCATATGCATAGCGTGCTCAGCTGCGGGCGTTTCACTCGGCCTAAACCTTTCGACTCCAGGGTTTTCAGCGCCCGCTCCCCTGTAACTCCGGTCCGTGTTGCCCAATTTTTGTCAAACTTTCGTGTTTTTTCTCAGCTGACGTTCGCCCCCTCCACCCTATTTTATGCGTAGCAACTAAAGGGACTCTACATCCATGCACGTACCTCGGCAGGAAAACGGTTACCGGGAGGAGATGACGAGGGTCCTCGCCGTCGTCGCCGCCTGCCGCCGCCCTCCGGACGAGGCAGAAGACGGCGGCATGGGGGGTAAGAAGAAGGCCGGGAGAGAAGAGGAGGAGGAGGAGGACGGGGGGGGCGAGGAAGACGACGACGACGAGCTGCCGGACGGATTCTTGGATGTAAGTTTAGGGTTACTCGAGTTTTCGGAGGCAAGGCGGCCTTCCTATTTCTACTCGTATTTTTTCTTGCTCCGGGTTCGTGAAGATTTTCCCAAGGGTCACAACGAACCGCTCACAAGTTAGCATTGGTTGTCGCTGTGTTTTTTTAACCAGCCGGTAGTGGCCCCTGTGTAAGGCCGCATAAATGAGGCCCGTCGCGCTGTATAGGCCGGTAATACCGCGTGACACCCGGGTGGGATGTTCAAGTTTGTCTCGTTACCTGCATGTCATGGCAGTTGCCTAGCGCCCGGTTTAATGCCGTCCAAACCCCTGGCACTATGCGGCCTTGAACAGAGACCACGGCTACTCTGTATACGGTTGTGTCGTGGCACTCATGAGGCCCCCTTCACCCCCCCGGTACTCCCTCGACCACAGAGCCTGGTGAAGCTCTGCACGAAGGACGGTGCCCCCTCGGAAGCAGCGGCAGCCGTCCGCGCCCTCGCCGCCCTCGCCTCCCGGCCGGACACCCAGGCCGGCGAGGCCGCCAGGTTCTCCGCCCTCGATGCCCTCCGCGAGACAGCTGCTGCTGCGGCGGCGGCGGCGGCGGCAGCGGCGGGGGGGGGGGGCGCTCCCGGCAAGAAGTGTAGGGATGGTGGGGTGGGAGCGACAGAGGTTACGGCGCTGGCGGCGTTCGCGCGCGAGTTCCCGCGGGAGTTCGAGAGGCACGAGGGGAAGGCGTTGTCGTTTGCGATGGCGAGGATGTCCGGTGCGATCGGGGTCGGGGAAGGGAGAGAGGACGAGGAGGAGGTTGCCAAGAAGAGTGGCAAGAAAAAGAAGCGCGGCGGCGGCGGAAAAGGGGCGGCGGCGACAGCGGTCTCGCCGGCGTGTCTCACGCTCTGCGCCTCGATAAAGCTCGCGTGCAACTGTCTCATGGCGCCAGGTCGGGCCACGGACGTTAGCGGAGGTGCGGAAGACAGGGGAGAAGCGTGGTTGAGTACGGTGTTTGCGCTGCTGAAGGCGGACGGGCAGCCGGAGAGTGACGGGGAGAGGGAGATGGGGGAGGCGGAACGGGCGGAGCTGAGGCTCGCCGGATCGACCCGTGTCGTGCGGCTGTGCGTCAACAGCGCCAACGTGCAGGTGTGTTGGGTTATGCGGCGGTCGTGGTGGTGTTTGATGGCATGACGCTGATTCCGACGGCTGTGGTATGTGGCGGCGGTGTATGCTAGTTTCTTGTTCTTGAGTGGTACTTGACTCCAGAATGGAGTACAGAGGGGCTCCCTGTTTAGCGCCGGTTGAATGGGGCCAATGCCCGGTAAAGTACCGGTGTTTTCGGCGGGCGCACGCTGAATTTCCACGTCGTTGTCAGCACTTTGAATACAGGGCCGGTCCCCTCTGTAACTGACGTGGAGTTAACGCCACGCTCGCACCCATCCCGCCTTCCCCCTCTCCTTCCTTGTCTTGCACCGTTGTCCCAAACCCCTTCAGACGCTGCTCACCCCGCATCGGTGGCACTCGCTGGCGTGGACGCTGATGGACCCGTCCGCCAAAGTGAGGCTCGGTTTCATGCGCGAGGTGTGCCGTGGCCTGGAGCAGACGGGGGCGGCGGGCGAGAGAGGCCCGTCGACGCTGAGGTTCATGGCTTACCTGTGTCTCATGGCCTTCGAGGTGAGGAGACCGGACAGCCCCCCCCCCCCCCGAGCCACCCTTTGGCAAAGCAGGAAGGAACGATTGGCCATCGCTGCGGGAATAATGCTCCGTCCCCTCTTTGGCGCGTGGTCAACGGTCTAATAACAAAGGCATGCAAGACATTCGTGCCCCCCCGGGCAATGTTTTTTCTCGGCGTCCGTAGGTTGGACGAAGGGTGGCCGACGGAGGTGGCCCAGGGGGGGGGGGCGGGGCGACAGATGGAATGTCTGCCGCGGGCTATCTATCTACTGATTACATAGCCGGCTCAACCGAAAGTGTGTCATTTGTGCTCCCTTTTGTTCGGGCTCTCCATCGTTTGTGTGGTGTTCGAGCACAATCCTGTTCTGCGTCGTGAGATGATGATATCGAGTGATTGGGGGGGGCGGGGGGTATGATTTCGGAAGGTGTCGTTGCTTGCCGGCAAAAGAGGAAGAGGGCCGTGATCGGGACCGAGAAGACAGACGAGAGGAGAGGAAGCGATGCACTAGACTGAACAGCCGACACGCCAACCACCGGCTAATTCTTGTTCAAGCATAAGTCACCCATCTGCCGCTGCTGCTGTGTTGCTGCTTCACCAGCCGGTCTCAACGTCCACCCTACCCCGGTCCCCATGCCCCCGTTGACAGTCCGAACCGATCAGGAAAAAGGCAACCCTTGCCGTCGCCAACAACGTCCGCCAGCTGAGGCTCGCGCACCAGCGGGCAACCGCCGCGGCCGCCGCCGCCGCAGCAGCAGCAGCAGCTGACGACGGCGTTGGCGATGCCGGCAGCGAGGAAGGGGGGGGGGGGTCGCCGGCGTCGACAAAGGCATCGTCCGCGGCGGCGGCGGCGGCGGCAGCTGCCTTGGAGAGGTCGATGCCGGAGTACGTGCTGCCCTACGCGATCCACCTGCTGGCGTACCACCCGGACTTTCCGGCGCACAAGGCAAGAGACAGAATTTGTATACGCTAAATCGTGGCTGCGGGTGTGGGTTTATAGCAAGGAGAAAACGCTTTGTCACGGCCGTGAGAAACACATGTACTACGGATTTACGAAGAATAGAAAACGCTTGGCGCAGCCGTGTGAATTACTTTTTTTTAAGAGAACAGTAGCGTTTTTTTGGCTTGTCCCGATCTTCTCTTTCACCGTGCCCGCTGCTGTAGTCAAGAAATTCTACCCCCTCTTGACGCGGGGTGTCTTTTTCGGTCGATCAGGACGACAAGCAGCGCATCAAGAACTTGGAGAAGTACCTGAACTTTCTCATCGAGCCGCTCATCGGGGCCGGCCGGCAGACGGGAGAGGCCGACAACATGTCCATGCTCCTGCAGATGCTGGACACCATCACCACGTCCTACCGTGACGCGCTTGACCCCTCCAACAACCGCATCCACCTCACCGCACGAATAGCCCGCCAGGTTGGTCGATTCGTTGTGTTTTGCTCCGCTCTTGTTGGTCTGGCGGTGTTTCGCGACTTCACCGGTGCCGAAACGCCGGGCCGCCTTGGCGAGAAACTGAGTTTTTTTTATGAGGAAATAGAACAGGGAGGGGGTACGCAGACCGTACTCCCTAACCCTAACCCTAGCCCAACTTCCCCCCGATTAAATGCTTTATCCAACATGTTTACATAATATTATAGCAACAACCTACGAGGGCTATTATACTGGAAACGCGGAAGCATGTCGGCCAAGTTTTTGGTGGTTCCCTTGTCGTTTTTTTTCTTGTGTTGCGATATCCGTGTCGTGTTTTGGGTGTTCAGCCTGCGACCACGGAAGGCGTCCCCGTCAGTTGGACTGTTATAGTACGGACATTAGAAGGAACTGAGCGGAGACCGGAAGGGTTTTTAATGTATAGACAACCAAAACAACCAACCGTTCCGTTCGCGAGGCAGTATCCGTGTCGGTTCCGTCTCGAATGGAGGTGTTGGCGTAGTCGGCGCTGCTTCGTTTTGGTTCGTGTAGTGTTGCCCCCAGCTTTGCGACAAAGGTCGACGCTTGACCTACCGTTCGCCGTTGCTCAGCCCCCGTGGTGTATGCGCGGGTTCCGTGCTTGAATAGATCCACTCGTCATTCGGTGCTGCTCTCAGCATGTATTGCTGCGAAACGGCTGTCGTGAGAGGTTCGATCTGTGCTGGTCCTGCACCCTGCGTGTCATCGTATCTCCCCCACCCTCTTCGCCGCTGCCGTGTTGCACTCTAGGAACACCCTCCGGTCAAAAAACACCGCTGTAACCCCGCCCTTGTAGTCACCGTCAACTCGAACCTCGTCGCTAAAGCGTACCTTCCCCCCCCCCGCCCGCCCGCGAGTGCAGCTACTGTTGAGCAAGATCAAGACCCAGAGCGACCTACAGCCGTACCCGGGGAACATATTCCTGCCGGCCCCGCTCTTCCAGCGCCGCTGCCGCGAGGATGAGACCCCCTCCTCCTCGTCGTCCCCTTCGCCGTCCACCAGGCTTGCCGGAGAGGCCCCGGGCTTTGGTAGCCCGGCGGGGGCGCCTGCGGCGCGCCACCGCCGCCGCAGCCGCTCGAGTGCCGCTGGGGCAGCGGCGGCGGCAACCCCCAACAGCAGCAGCGGCGGTGGCGGCGGTGGCGGCGGCAGTGCCGCTTCTTCGCCGTTATCGTCGTCGTCTTCCTCCGCACCCTCCAGGAGAGTCCGTCGTCGGACTTCCTCCACTGGTTCCGCTGACAGATCCTCTGTTGGCGATGATGGCGGCGGCGGCGGCGGTGGTGGCGGTGGTGGTGGCGGTGTTGGTAGCAGCAGGTGCCGCCGTTCGTCGGAGGCTGAGGCCGGGGATGGTTCAGGAGACACCTCGGCGGCGGCGTCTCGCGCGCGGCGCCTCGCTCGCCGGCGGTCGGCCTCGCCGCCGACACCGGAATCGCCCTTCTCCGACGACATCGGAGAACAAGGAGGAGGAGGAGGGCCTATTTCCCCGTCCCTGTCGCCCATTGCCAACGCGGCCCCCTCCCCCGGGTCATCCCAGCAAGCCTCGCCCCATCGGGCAGGCAGCGGCCGGGGTAGGGACCGGGGACAGGTGTCGTCGCCGTCGCCATTTCCTCCGAGGCCGTCTCCGGCTACGGCTGCGGCTGCCGGGGCGGGGGCGGGGGAATCGCCGCCTGCGGGAGAGAGGAGGGAGGGTAGGGCGGCCGCGCGTGTCGCCAGGAGCAGGATCGCGGCGACGGAGAAAACGACGGCTGGTCGCAAGAGGGCAGGGCGATCTGCTGCTGCTGCTGCTGCTGCCGGTGGTGGTGGTGGTGGTGGTGGTAGTAGTAGTACCGGGCGGGGAGCGAAAGGCAGAGGTGCGGTGGCGGCGGAGACGGAAGAGAAGAGCGGTGAAGCAGGAGCGGGTTCGGGCGACGACGCGGACGAGGAGGAAAAGGACAAGCCTTCTCCAGCCAAGAAGCAGAAACGGGGTGCCAGCAGGACTGCTGCTGCCCCTTCCACACCCCCGTCTCGCCGGTCTCCCCGGGTGGCGACGTCGGCCACCCCCGATCATGTCGGAGACAACGAGGTGAAGAGCAAGACCGCTGCAGGCGGCGGCGGCGGCGGCGGGCGCAAGAAGGCGGCCCCTCTCGCAGCCAGGAAACCTCAACAGCAGCAGCAGCAGCAGCAGCAGCAGGCGAAGCCGGTAGCCGCGAAGAAGAAACCATCCTCCCGTACCGCTACCGCTGGTGCTGGTGCTGGTGCTGGTACCGGTCGTGCTGGGGGAAGGAGACCTCCCAGGGTGAGGGGTGCGGTGCCGGCGGCGGCCAAGGCTACGGCCTCGGGGCGGGGGGACACGAGGGGAAAAGGGCGCAAGGACGATAGCGAGAACGAGCAGGAGGAGGAGGAGGGTGGGGACGATGATGATGACTCGGAGGACGAAGCACTGGTGCGTTTTTTCCCGCCGAGGGACGAGGGGGGTGTTTATATCGTCGAGCGATGGGTATCGTTTCCGTCTTTTATGTCCATTCTCCGTCTTTTGTGTCGGGTTTTCGTGTGGTTGCGCTGCTTGTGGTCTAGAAGTCTAGAGGCGATGTGCTGAACGCCATGGCAGCCCGCCCGCCCCCGCCCACCCCATTTTTTGGCTGGGTTGACCCCCTGACCCCCCCTTCTCTCACACGCGCTCGTTCCGCAAATCGGCGTTCATCTGTCCCCAACCCTAACAGATGGCGCTCTCCCGCCGCCGCCGCGCGGTGATGCAAGAATAGGCCGCTAGAAGAGCCAAGGCCGAGAGGGTTAGCGGCTTTTCGCGGCGGATACAAGTGGGGCAGTGGGGCCTACACTGGCTCGTATTCTATCCTACATGGTGCCGTCCTTCGAACCGAAGACGCTTCTTGGTAGTAGGCAGAAGGAAGGGTGTCATCATTATATTCTCGAACTCTTGGAGGGGGGAGGTCTGCGAAAGTAGCGCACCCCCCCCCCCCCCCCCCCCCCGCCCCGGAAGGTGTGTGGGATGCAAAAGTGCTCCCCAATGCTTAGTTGGGTGGAAAAAGGTAGGCGTGTGTGAAGGGCCTTTCTTTGTCTTATTTCAAGAAGCGCTTTTTTTTTGGGGGGGGGGCGGCGTCCCTGGGGACAAAGCGCGTCGTGACCGGGCGGCTCTTTCTCCGCCTTGAGGGCAGGGAGGGCTAGGGTAGCGGGCTACTGCTGTAGCAGCTTGCGGCGCTGCTCTCCTGCTACTCCTATTTCTGGTGAAAAAATATTTACTGGTCTAGAGATGCAACAGGGTGTGGTGGGGTGTTTGCCCTTGGCTTGGATTGTGTGTACCACGTTTGTTTTTGAGAGCACCGGCCCTGTTTACCGGCTGACCCGTTGGAATCCTAGCCATAGTGGGACGGAGGAGATCCGTTCTAGCATGTGCGCATGCATGTCGGCGGGTGCATTTTGCCTCAGGGATCAAGGTGGGGGGGGGGTGAAATACAAGGGAAGAAATTCATATTCAGCACGAACGAGATATGTACGAGTGGCAGAAGGCACCCAGAGCTTTGTTTAGAAGAAGTGCCAAACCTATACCTTCGTCTTTCCGAGAAAACGCTATTTTCTACCGCGGTTGTTGACTGCTTTTTTCCCACCACCACCACGATAAGACAGGTGCTGTTTCGCGCTTGTTTTTTTTCTTTTACGTCGAGTCGAAATTGTTCGTAGGGGCGGCGACCTTGCTTTCAAAGCAACAATCAATGTAAATGTGGAAACCGTGCCCCGAACTCTTGAGATTCGAACTCGCAACACATTTGTTGGTGTGCCTGTTCACCTTGAAGTATTTGTTTTTGTTTTCTGTTTTCGGAAATGATTTGTGCGTGGCATTAGGTGCGTGGCATCGTCTGTTCAATACTCTCGAGGCGTTGTGCTATATCGTGGTATGATTTGACAGTGGTGCCGTAGCATGGTGTAGGCGTGGCGTGGGATTCGCCAGCTGTGTTGTGTGTGTTTGTGTGTCTTTGTTAGACAGCAGCAGTAGTACACTAAGTGTCGGCATCCCTTTGGACCGATGTACATGCAAGGGTTCTTCAGAGGGCATACGACCGCCCCAACAAGAGCCTGGCAGTCCTTGGGATTACGGACTTACGGACCTCTTTTATTTTGTTTTGTTACCAATGGCGAGAATTCAGCTGTTTTTCGGGTTTTTGCACGCACCTGTATTTCTAGTGATTCACTGGGAAGGGGCATTGTTTTAGAATGGGAACGGTATTTTCAAGGTCTGCTTTATTCTAGGGGTTCAATCGTGATGGATTGAACTGCTTGAGGTGTTGGGAAGTCGTCGTCGCAAGGAGAAGGAAAATTGCGAAGAATAGGCAGGAGATGGGGGTGAGTGAAGGAATGCGAGTTGGATGGGAGAAGTTGCGTCAAGCGCCTCATGACAGGAAGCGTGCGACCAGCGTTGGTCAATGCAAGCATCGAAGGGGGGGATGCAACGGAAGAAAGGAGATATATGCACCTTTGCTGCTGGTGCGTACCATGTCTTCCCATTTGAGGCTTTGACGCGATTGACGTTCTTCGGGGGGTGAGACATTCCACATCTTGGTGCAATTGGGGGAAACGGTACGTCGTCGTCGTCGTCCCCCGCACGCGCAGCAACCAAATCGATCCGCGTTGCGTCTCACGCGGGGTTTGGTGATGAGATTGGGCGTTGGGGCACGGGGACGTGCGGGAAGAAAGCAAGACGAGGAAGCTGATCGCCTCGTACACACGCCCCAATTCCCTTGCTTTGTTATCGCGCACTGCCGTTCCAGCTCCCCTTCGAACACAATAAATGAGTTGCGGAGGGCGCTTCAGCAGCCAAACGATCAATCTAGTGTAAGTGTCTGCCGCCGTCCCCGGCAATCGGTACAAGCCAATCACCACACAACCCGACGTGAACACCACGATACGTGTCAACACCAGCCTAGACACAAACTTGAAACGGTCGCGCGCACGGCGGCGATATAGCCGCAGCAGCAGCAGCAGCAGCAGCAGCAGCAACCGGAGGGGATGATGCTCATGTCCGGAGTCTTGTCCAACACCTTGTGCAACCCACAACGGCTTGTTGGCGCACACGTTCTTCTCCCTCGACAACCACCAACCAAATCGTCTCGTCAGCGGAAACCAGCCCTCTTGAGCTCCATACCATGAGAAGAGCGCCGAGCAGTTTCGCGGCGCTAGTGTTGGTGGACCCAACGCCTCTCGACCCCACCAGGGAGGCGTCACCAAGAAGCGATGGTATCCACCAACGAGTCGACATCTCGTCATGTCGGGAACGTTCAGGAACGACGTTCAGTCCTCGGGCGGCGAAAACGTTAGTATTCTCGCGCGTGTACGTACATACGCCTTCGTTCGACAAAATTCCCCCGCAAGCTACAAGATTCCACCACGTTGCCAAATGCCGAGAGAGCGAACTCAAGGGGTTGCTCTATGCGGCAACGGACGCCGTGCGCCAACGAGGGCCCTTAACAGCGCCCACGCGACGCCACACCACGCCGCTGCCGGTTCTTCGACTGCCGCAGCTGCTGCCACAGCGTATTTTATATTTTACTGCGGGTCATGCGACGACGCCAAATGCGTGCGAGCATCCAGATAGAGGTGGGGCGCAACAAAAACTAGTATAATCATAGACTTCAAGAAGGACGACGTCCCGGCCTGCGCTACGGCTCTCGGTAGAACACGGCAACAGGAAAACCAACCGTGATTGGTACGCTCCACGGCAAATACCCCCGTTACAAGGCCGTTCGTCGCTTGATCAAAGCCCCGAGGCTTCTTCTCTCCCTCACATCACCTCAAACTACCCCCCTACACTTGAAAACAAGTGACGCTCTCCGACCCCCATCCGCTGCCGATCAAAATCTAGAGCGAGCCCCCCGCTTCCCGCGCACGGCAGCACAATACACGAAATGGCGCGGGCTGAGCATTCCCACCCTCCGCCGCAAAACGACAAAACGCGCACCTCTAATCAACCCTGCACAACGGCCAAAAACCACCAGCAGCAGCAGGCACCACCTTCAGGCTAACATCATGCGAGGCATCTACTATCATCACTACCTTGCCCTTTCTTAAGCCGTGTTGAGACCCAGGAGCATGTTGGACCCGCCCCCTGTTGGCAGGTAGGTGATGTTTCTCGAGGTGGCGAGGGTGAGGGCGATCTCCTTGGCGGTGTCGATGCGCCGCACCTCGATGAGCCCGATGCCGCTCTCCTTCAGGGCGGCCGAGATCAGCTCGGCGGCCTCCGCCTCTCCCTCCGCGCGGATGATGGCGGCCAGCCTCTCCTGGTCGGACAGCGCGACCACGTACACCTGCCGCTCGGCCTCTTGTTGCGCCACCTGCGGGGTTGGTTGCGCGTGAACGTTGGATCGTACGATGCAGCTTTAGTTTTGCCCTTGTGTTTTGTTGGATTCTAGCAGCAGCAGCAGCAGCAGCTTAATAGGTCGTTCTTGTGTGACAAGCATCATGAAATTGTCTACGGGTACGGACGGGGCAATGCTGGTCGAGGATGAGAAGCGCATTGCTGCGCACGTTGAATTGTAGCAGCTTGAATTGTATGTGTGACAGCTCAAATCTCTGATAGCAATTTCAAGATACACAGTGAATGGCGGTGGCACAAGAAGCCACCTACACTTACACCTCTCCTCCCCTCCCCCCCGCCTTGTACCAAGACAATTCGCGCACAATGAAAACATCATGGAAACGAAAAAGAATGTCTGACAGATGCAAAGCAACATCTTATCCAACAGCCTTACGTTACACGGTCGTAGTTTATCTCGAATACTCGTTTGGCGTCTTGGAGGACTATCTATTCTGGAGTCCATTTTTTTTTTTTTTTCTAGAAAGGTGTACCCCCTTTGTTGGGGCAAGTCGGCTTGTGACCACCGAAGGTGTCCGCGTCAGTTGGACCAGTACCGACGGACATTACAAGGTACCGAGCGGAGACCGGAACGGTTTCTCAATGTGAAGACAACAACACGGAACGGTTTCTTAATGTGAAGACAACAACACACCTGCTTGTTCTCGATGGCCTTGGTGAACTCGTGGCCGAAGGTGAGGTGGGTGATGGACACGTCGTCCATGATGAGGTGGAACTGCTTGGCGCGGTGGGTCAGCTCGTCCCGGATGCGGGTGCTGACCGACTCACGCTTGCTCAGCAGCTCCTCAGCGTTGTACTTGGCCACGACTGCCTTGAGCACCTGTTTTGATGCGTAACGTCACACGCATCACGGACCATGACGTGTTGCGTACTTTTCGACCTGCTCACGGGCCTGTTTGGTGGAAACCCGTTCATTCTCCGTCCCGGATTTGGTAGGGACGCCTACATAATCTGTGGTATAAAGGTACAAACACAACAGCCCGCGGCGTCTTCCAAGACCCCGACCCCGACCAACCCCTCCTCCTCAGAGGTATCCTGCGGGCCCGCCGTACCTCATTTCCCAGCGACGGCAAGACTCTGTCGTCGAAATCAGTCCCCAGCTCCTGGTAGATGCGGGGCAGCTCCGACTCCAACGGCCGAGACAGTACCCTAACCACCACCCCCAAAGACAACAACCAACAGCGGGACACAGGGGGTTTAATGCGTGAGAGGGGGTTTTGGGGACACAGGGGGCAACGGGGGGTTGGAGAGAACCGGACGAGGTGTGGGATGCAATATATAAAAAAATCAGTGCGGGTGGTAATACGACCGGAGAGCGACGCCGCCGCACAGCATGCGCGGGAGTTGGTGAATCAAGAGCGGCAGCAGACAAAGCTGCCTAGGCCACCGCCGAGAAGGCCACCAAACTGCGGGAACCAGCGCGCCACGGCCACCAATCGCCTCCAAAAGCTGCGCCAAAGAGGCAGCCGCCCTACCTAGAGCGCCAGTAGCGAGACAGGCAAACAGCCATCGACCTGCCGCAACGAGAGGAGCAAGCCGCCATCACTGAACGGAACAACGACATCGACATCCACGACCGAGATACGCCGTCCACCGAGTGCGACGGCGTGTCGCGCTCGTCGGTGGCGTTGTAACGCTCGGTGATTGCAGCTTGCTCCTCTCGTTCCGGCAGGTCGATGGCTGTTTGCCTGTCTCGCTGCTGGCGCTCTACGTATGGCAGATGCCTCTTCGGCGCAGCTGTTGGGGGCGATCAGTGGCGGTGGCGCGCTGGTTCCCGCAGTTTGGTGGCCTTCTCGGCGGTGGCCTCGGTGGCCTCTGCAGCTTTCTGCTGCCGCTCTTGACGCACCGATTCCCGCGCAGCCATGTTGGTATCCATAACACGATGGCTTCGTAGCGTGCGTCAGATGACGTCACAGGTGATCATAAGTCGAACGATTGTCCTCCGCTAAATGCCACACCAAGAGCTCATCCGAGAGACGGAGCAAGTGCCAAAGCCTACACCGCTCAACGTCGAGAGATTTCAAAGACTCTGTACCATGCAGTAGATAACAGCAGTGGGTCTCTTCGCGACGCCACCCACACGTTGTGATTCTTTGCTCCACTCTTATCCTTTCGTCAAACCTTCTAATCTCGCAACCATATACTCTGATGTACCCCCAGCGGCGTGCGAGAGCTGGGATAAGGAAGTGATCGTTCCTTCCCTCCACGATTAGGATTAGGATTAGGATAAGCAATGGGATTAGGATTAGGATTAGGATTAGCATTAGCATTAGCATTAGCATTGGGATTGGTATTAGTATTAGGATTAGGGTTAGCATTAGGATTAGGTTCTGGAATCGCATGAAACATAAATCCTTAAACAATGCGAACACGGCTTTCGAGCGCTCATGTCGTCGCGGCGTCAAATCCAGATCTCTCTGTACCCACCCCGCCCCCCACACACGGTAGTGAAATGTTGGTCATCCACCGTAAGATTGCGAGTCATCGCACCCCCACACATCAGAGAAATGTACTTAATGTGTTTCCGTTGACAATCTGAGTCTTATAATACCAACAATCTCCCATACCATACGCACATACACACACACCTTAGAGAGATGTTGGCCATCTGCAGGTCCTTCGTCCCCGTGATGGAGTTGATCGTGCGCGGCCTGGCCCGCACGTCGATGATGATAGGCTTCTGCACGATGGGGATCATGAAGTGCGTCCCCTCCCCCACGACCGCCTCTTTGACTCCCTGAAATCTGTCGAAGATGACTGCCCGCTGCCCGCCGTCCACGTTGAAGAGGCACATCTCTCTGTTGCATCAGTTTTTGTTTTTTTTCGACCAAGGCATGGGAACGAACCAGAGCTGTCAACTAGGCAATCGATTCGGTGTCAGGGGAGCTAAATGCGTGTCACGTGATGTGCGCAATGTTGTTGGCTTCGGTAGATTTGTAAAAAACATTTGTAGACGTTGACGTTCGGTGATGCTTCCATAGTTATTTTGGGAAGGAGGAGGGGTGGAGAGAGGGAAAACGAGTTCGGGAAAGCGAGTAGATCGCATGTCCGCACACCCTTGCCAATTTGCCGTTCAGAGCTTCTTCGTACAGCGGTTGTTCGAGTGCGGCGGTTGTCGTTTGCGAGCGAACTGCGGCTCAAGTCTGATACGAGTCCAGACGAGATATAAGGGCCTGTGGTACATCGTGATGGGCGTGAACTGTTATTGACGAAGGTTCTGGTGCATGCACTACAGGCCAGCCATATCTCGGTGTAGGTGAAAGGGCGAGATGGGCAGCAGCAACTAGTACTCCAGGGCTTGACGCTGCTGCTGTTTGTTTGGCTCTCATGTATACGATGGAACCAGCAGCGACAGCGCTGGCGTTTCGGCGGATTGCGCTGGGGTTGGGTGTGTGAGGATCAAAAACACATAACGACCCCCCCTGTCGGAAAGCAGACAAGATAAATGAAAGGGCGTGGACGTCAACTGCGGCCTCTAAGCGTAGGAGACTGGCGTCTGTCATTGGTCAGCATGTCGACGATAATCTAAACGCACAGCAACGTTCCCCGCAGCAGTAGTTTTTCGCGTGCGTGTCGACCGTTGCTGGCGGTTGTGAAAGTGCTATGGTGGCATGTGACATGATTCTCGCTGAGAAGGACGGCAAAGATCACCTCTGCCGCCTGTAAACGCTGATGATATCTCCTACTTCGTTACGTACTTGATGCATATTCTTCGACATGTCCAAAATCTCCGAGAGAACCGTTGCGAGGGGGTGGGAGCGTCAGCGTTCATTGAACATCACAGCTCCTAGATCTCAGGAGTGGCATACATAGCAACTGCATCCCCCCCCACCCTCACCGATATTGCAAAAAATTACCATCATGTCCCAGCTGGTGTTTTCTTGGTACTGCTGAAGTCTTTTGGTGATGGTATCTACATTTTCAAAAAAGACATGAAAGGTCGTTTTCATCGCGAACACAACGCTACGATCAGTCCAAGACGACTCTTCAGGTCGGCGCAACGTGTGTGGTGGGGCGGCCAAGCACTACTGCAGGCTTGTCGGATACAACGGGTGACTTGGCTCGCCGCCATCCAAACAGTGGCAAGGCGGGAGTTTGCTTGCAATAACGGCCCGGGAGTGCTACTGCGTAGTTTGTTGTTGTTGTTGTCTTCACATTAATAACCGTTCCGATCTCTCTACCCAGCCTTCATATTGTCCATACTGATCCAACACTTGACGCGCAGTATGAAGTACTTGTAAACCGCAGTAGAAGAACCAAGGGATCTGAGCTTCTCTCGAACCCTACACAACCAAGTGTAATTTTATGCTTTCGTAATACCTTGGCTATCAAGGCGTGTCGTAGCAAAGCAATGCATCGTTGCTGGGCCGATCCACTCACGACTCAGGAGGGGGCGGGTGATAAACTAAACTGCTGTACTCGCAAGGGGCCACGGGCTGTACTCGCAAGGGGCCACGGGCATTGCTCCCCGACGACGGCCAGGAATAGACAGCCTTTACACGCGTCAAAAACCATTAAATTACATGTTTAGGAAAGGGGAGTATACCAGTATCCCAGTGGGATGTGGACAGACCGAACGCGGATGCCTTCACACCGAACTATCCGTTTCGTTCCTCGGCTGGTTAGCTGTTATCTGTGCATTGCTATCGTCGATTTAGTTGCAATGTTGTACGCCCGTGAGTCAACGAGGAGCTAACACAGAGCCGCTGGGTCTGCCTCGTACATACGCAGAACCAACCCCCCCCATAACACACCAACACCTTGCTTCCGACCAACACTCACGTCGCCGCCGCTATCGCCACCACGCCACCTAGCCGGGACACATTTTGCAGCAACTTCTCCGCCATGCTTCCCTCTCCCTTGGCTCTCCTGTGCCTGCCTCTCTCGCGCTTCCGAAGGCTGCCTGGGTCTGAGAGCTCTGAGGCGCTCGGCTACCGCAGGTTTCGACTTCTCCGCTCAAAGACGAGTGCTTACAAGCACCTCCCAGAACAAGGGATTCGGAATCAACGACTCGTTCGCACTAGCTGGGCACTCTTACGAAATGCTACGCCGGACGCTCACACCTCTCCTTGTTGCTGTTGTGCGTGTCGTGGAGCACACACACCAGCCTGCTGGCTAGCTGGGGGGCTCCGTAAAATCAATGCGGGCATACAACAATACTCCAGTTTATTTCCCCCCCTCCGTGTCTTTATCATCCTTACCATCACATATGATCAGACAACACTACGCAACTATCCATGTGAGTACACGGAGGACCTGTTTTAGCTAGTGGCGTGGCTAAGCTTGAGGCTCCTCTGGTGTTTCCTCGCTAGTTTTTCGATTCAGGCCACGTCTCGGCTCTCATTAAAGTGCGGTGTGTTTTTTTGCCCACTTTTGTGTTTGTTCTCTTTGCTGTTGGCCGTTGTTGACGTTGACCAGAGACCGACTACTACTGCTGTACAGCAGAGCAGCCAACGCAGCGGTACTGGGTAGCCCCTTCACAACATGGGGCGGCGAAAGAAGAGCACGAAGAAGATCGTGGTGAAGAAGAATACCACGCTCGACAAGGTGTTCAAGTGCCCCTTCTGCAACCACGACAAGGTGGTGGAGTGCACCATGTGAGTAGACTACATGCCGTTGGTTATTGGTTGCGTATCGTGTCACCCCCTGGACGCATTTTCAAAGCTCAAACTACTCGGCAGGAAAAGCAGCGACGGTGCCGAAAATACCGGCGTCGGAACCGTCTCGTCGAAAACATTCCGAAAACGCATCATTTGATTTCGGCATCCTCTTCGTCGTGGAGTAATCGAGCTTTGAAAATCGGTCCAGGGGGTGGCGTGTGGTATCTCCTGTCATGTCGCCTACAAGGTACATTCATGTCTCAGCAGGCGATCAGCAGACCGGCACGTCGCGATGTTGCTATACTATTTTTTACCCAGGGAATTCGAAAAACGCAAAACCCCGGGGATGGTCCCGAAAAATCCCCGCTTTTCAAAAGTGGTCAGATCGATCTGAAATTTTCAGGTTAAGGTAATTTTGGGGTGGGGATTACGAATCCGTGGCTATTATTTTTTAATTCCATTTTGGTCTTGAGCTACAAAGCAGGTGTCTACGTGCCTAATGCATGACCACAATCTGGCCACTGGGGGCACCAGCTTCTTTTTTCAGTGGTGCACGTGGTGTATACCGGGGGCGGATATTGTGTGGTGCCTGGGCGCGGCGTAGTGTGCCAGATCGAGGCGCCTGTGCCGGCCGGCGCCTCGACGAACCTCACCAAGAACAAGTGGACGAACCGATCAATGTTTTTCTTCACAGGCGGTGGCGGCCATGGTTGCAGAGTCTCGAGGGTGCGGGTTTGAACCTAGAAAATCGCAATCTGAGGTGGAGCGCTACTGCTTCACTAAATAGTCGCGAGTAGTGCACCGGGAGAGGGGAAGGAGCTGCTTGCTGAATAGCTGAAACCTTCTCGCGTTGTAAAACATGGAAAGGCAAGCACCACAGGCAGCAGCAAATGGCGGGGAAATAAGAAATAAGCAACAGTTGTTGTTTCATTACTCGTGTGCGACCCCGGCTGGTGCTTCATACGCACCGCATGATCTTAGACTGGCGCCCAAAACAGATTAGATGAATACATTGTACAGACAGACATCGCACCCACTTTATGGGGTGCCGCCCTATACGGAGTAGAGTCCTTGCTGTTATGGCGTGCTTCACGTTACAACGCACGTCGTATGCATGCGTAGGCAAGCGAGCCAGCTGAGCACGCGCTCACCGAACAGCTGCATGCAAACATGTCATGTTGGCGCACACATTCCGAAACCAACTACTGCTGTCCATATCACATTGTGGTGGAGGTGTGCGATGCCACACGTTTGGTTGGCCAAGACAAGACGCTCCTGTGAGCGCAGAGGCGGTATGACATTGTTTCCACCGCGGCCGAAGCTTTGACCGATCACTGCTAGCACAAAAAACTACGCGGGAACACCTTCATGGCAACCCTCGGAGCACCATTCGGCTGATTGGTGCTAGGTGTTGCTGATGAATTCATGGGCGATACTGGAACCCCAGCTAATCCTATAATTTGTTTCTTGCTCTTTTTTTGTCCCTGGTTGGTGTTGCTGTTGTGCTGCTCCCGTGTGCTCTGGCGACCGCTGCGGTGGCGATCATCCGATGGTGGCGGATGGGCAGGAACAAGAAGGAAAAGACGGCGCGGCTACTGTGCCGGATGTGCGACGTGAACTACGAAATGACAATCAACTGTGAGTGGCAGCGGTGTCTACCGCACTTGCACCAGTTGAATTAGCCCCAGCCACACACCGCTGTCGTGTGCATACGTTCCAAAGCGGAGCCAGACACACCACTTACCACCTAAGTGTTGCTTTTGACAGGTTTCGCTTCGAAACAACAGCATCTGCATACGGTTACTATTTCAACACACGCGCGCCCGTCAGTGATGGCAACATTTCACACTCTGTACAACTACGTTAGTTGGTAGTTGTTTGCAGGACAACTATTCTTCGAGGATTGTACGCAACTAGTCGCCTGCAGACGACTACTCTTCCGGGATCGTGCGTAATTAGTGGCCTGCAGACGACTAACCTTCCAGACTCGTGCGTAACTAGTCATTTACGAACAACTAGCCTGTAGTTGTCTGGCAAACAACTAACTTTGTTATTAGTTGTAGTTGTACAGGGTGTGGTGGTTTATTATGTGTGTGTGTGTGTTTTGATGTGTGTGAGTGCGTCAGCTCGTCTCAGCCAACAACGGCCCCTAGCCTGAATTAATCTGTTGTTGACACGGGTCTGTTGTTGACAAGTACCCGGGCGACTAACGAATTGTAATTGTTCTACATTGACACCTGCCCGTCAACTAGTCACCTGCAGACGACTAACCTTCCAGACTCGTGCGTAACTAGTCGCCTGCATACGACTACTGTTCCAGGAGCAAACGCAACTAGTCGCCTGCAGACGACTACTCTTCCGGGATCGTGCGTAACTAGTCGCATACAGACGACTAGCCTTCCAGACTCGTGCGTATCTAGTCATTTACGAACAACTAGCCGGTAGTTGTCGGGCAAACAACAAACTTATTTAGTCATTAGTTGTAGTTGTACAGGATGTGCAACATTTGCAACCTACTGCTGTGCTTCGTTCTCCAAGGCAATTTACAGCAGAGAGCGAGCACCCTTTGCCCCACACTTCCTTTCCCCTACCCCTCGATTGTCACTCGTGGTCCCGATTCAGACTTGACGGAGCCGATAGACGTGTACACAGACTGGATCGACGAATGCGAGGCGGTTAACGCGGTCGACGCGGCTGCGGAGGAGCACAAAGATGACGAGCAGTTCATCGACGACCAAGAGATAGCGGAGGGCTAAGAACCAGAACCAGATTCAGAATATGTACAGACCCAATCGCCACTGCCCCGGGGTTAGGGAAAATGCTAGTTTCGACATACAACAACTCGAGTCAACACGTCGGTAGGATGAGCTCCAGGGACCCCTCAGACGGGATTTATTTTGCTTGGTTTGGTTGCAATGGTTGTGGGGCTACGTCCTGCTTGTGGAATGAGTTCTGCGAGATGAAATAACCCGCCCTCCTGGACAATCAAGTTCTTGCACCAATCATGAGGAGTTGTCTTCGTTGTCGATTGCCTGTACCCTTACCCTGGGTTGCAGCAGCTTCTTTTTTTTTTCATTTTCGTTTTTTCAAAGGAAGGCGTCGGTCGTCATGGTGATGCTCCCTGTGCAGGGCGCTTTCTTTACGTAGAAGACCAGCCGCTCGTGTCAACTAACGATGAGTCCGAGGGCTTCGTTGTCAAGGTGTTGCGAGGGAAGAACTGCTGTTGCGTGATACATACCTAGAGAGGCATCGTGTGGCTCGCAGTCTTCCTATGGCCATCACTGGCGCCGCTGATTTCTGATTGGCCTCGGTGTTCCGCTTTGCCGTCCGGTCAAGTTCGTGTTGGGTGATGGTCGTTTAGGCGTACAGCAGTAGGTGGGAAAAGGAAGAATGCAACGTAGGCCCCAGATGTGTATTGAAGCGGTGCAACCAACAACGGTCGGAAGTGATACAGAGGCACTGCACGAGTTTTTTTCTGCCGCCTACCATAGCGTCAACACCTTCTTCTGTCTCGGTAGCCGCGCAACGGTTGGTGCTTTCATTCCTACACGTTGTTGCTGCTGCTAGCCGGAGAAGAGAATGGTCCGTGAGGGACGGCATCGTGCATGTTTCGGTGGAGTTAAAAGTGAAATTATTGTGTTGGTTTGGGCTTTGAACCTGCCGCAGATACGGGCTGTGGATGTTTACGTGTGGGGGGCGTGCCCCCAATCGAAGCCGTCAATGTATTGGTGTGCGATCGCGTCCAAAACCCAACATTTTCGCTGCACTCGGAGGATCCGCGCTACTAGCACGCAGCGGCACCGCCACCTCCACCAGACCAGTAGGGATGGCGAAGCAAGCAGGTGAACGTGCGTCGAACATGAACGTGAGAAAAAGTCAAACACGTGATCCATCATATTTCAGCTTAACAACACTATGGACACTGCTTAGTTTTCTCGTGCTTGTCAGACGGTCCCGACGAGATACGCTTATCTTCACACCACAAAGCATGTCTTCGTCAGTCTCTGATCCCCAACTAAATGCCATGGCCGAGGCCCACTTACGATTGCGGAAACTGCTTTCTTTCGTGGCCTTATTTTCCGTTTGTTGGTCGTAAGACCGCTTACTCAGCACACGGACTTCCGCCTCATGTGTAGTGCGCATTAGCAATCACCGCACGCGATGCCATAATCGGAAGCTGATATACCGTCCGCCACTGGATCTGCTTTCAGTGTGGAAATCTGGAATCTGGTCCCGTTCCGTCGATACAGCGGATGTATGAAGTTCAGAACTCCGCATTATTTGTAGTTTTTTCTCAAACACCGCACGCTGAAGAACAGCAATCTCTGTGGCCATACTTCCTCCCTTGACATAAACAATAGCCCCCCCCCCGATCGGCGTTGATCTGTGAAGGGCCTTCATCAACCCTACCACAATGCAATACTGAAATAGTCTCTCGCAGAAGTTACTTTTCCGGGGGGCACCGCGATATCATACTTCAATTTCGCCGCACCGCGCCTCCCCCCCTGGGTGTCGTCTCGTGCGAGCTGTCAGCTGCTGTTTCCGCGCACTGCGCAGCCGGCAGCACAGGCTTCTCCGTTGCCTTGCTTGTGAAAAGCAAGGAAGATCTATGTATCAGTGTGTCTACCATCAGTTATAGAGCTCGGGAAGCCCGAGGGGCTACTTGACGCTCTACCTCAAGACTCATAGCAGAAGGGTTTGTCTGGAAAGTGAGCTTATGAACGAGCGCGGCGGCGGGGGTGGTGCCTACAACAAGAGCTCATCCAAGAGAAAGGCCTCGCCACTACCGCTTTCCAGAGCCGCTCCAGGCGCCGGGGGGGCTGGAGTCGTTGTTACCAGCAATCCTAGGCACAACGTAAGGCTTCAAACGGGTTGTGGTCTATGCTCAAGTATAAGTGGTATTCGAGGTGGAACAAGTCAAGCCGCAGGCACGGCCATGGGGGTTAACGGCAACCAACAACGGTTGGCACAATTGCATGTTCAAAACCAAGCAGCCGAGCGCAGGCTGCACGCCATGAATCAAACCAAGTCCAGCGCGAATATCCCAGCCCGAAGCTGAAACGGTGGGCCGCAAAACTCTTTTTGCATCCTCTTTGCAGAATCATGATCACATTGCTGCCCGCCGGGGAGCCGGCGGAGGCAGCGGAAGCGGAGGCGTGCGCATCGGTCCAAGAGCGGGGCAGCTCCAGGTAGGCGGCAGAACCGGTGCCCTTTGGAATAGCAGGTGTCTGAACGTGAGGGGTGAGGGTGCGAGGATACGGTTTTAGAATAGACGGTGTCTTGATGTGAGGGATGAGAAGACGGTACGGCTGTACTCTGCGGCCTTTCCCGGCAAACCGCTCGTCATCTTGGTGTGTAGAAGCTCTATGAATCTGTTCAATGGGCGAAATGATTGTATTCTAGGAAGGTCAATTTTGAAAGCGGCCGAACAAGGACCGTTGCAAGTGAGTAAGGGCCGTAGAAGCTATCTACAAGGCCAGCACATTCCTGCCTGCGCCTGCTTCTGTCCGAGGTTGGTGGACCATCAAGACAAGCAACCCCATGACAAAAGGCAGCGAATAGCATCAGTCGGTATGTAGTAGGGCACCAATCTTACTCCACCGCTTGGAGGCTACCGTACAACCACCGACTCAACACGACCCTTGCGCTTCTTCCGCTGACCGGCAGTTCCAAGCCGTTTCCCGAGAAGCACTTCCTGCCACCGGAGCGTCTGGCCTTGGCAACGTTTCGGGGCAGCAGCAGCAGCAGCAGCAGCAGCAGCAGCAGCAAAGATCGGGTGGTGGTCGAATGCAAACGATGCAAACCACGAACTCTGGTGCGGCGGCAGCAGGAGGAGGAGGAGGAACAGGAGGAGGAAACACCGACCACCAGGTGAACAGGAGCAGTAGCAGCAATAACGGCAGCAACGGATACCGACAAAACACCGGACAACAGGGCGCAAGCAACGCTCACGGCAGCAGCAACGCTCGGCACAATCGAGCACAGCAGGGTACTAGCGGCCCGCAGACGGGGGGTAGGCACCAACAGCAGCAGCAATGGCAGCAGCAATGGCAGCAGCAGCAACGGCAGCAGCAGCAGCAGTGGCAGCAGCAGCAGCAGCAGCAGCAGCAGCAGCAACAACACACGCGTGGGACTAGCACTGGCAACGGGCCTGCGGCCGGCGGCAGAGGTGGGTCGGGAAGTCAACCGGGACGGCAAGCAAACGCAGTACGGGCGCGAGGTGAGGCGGCGCCAGGGCAAGGGCGCAGCCAGGAGAGGCAGTCAGGCAACGGCGGTCACCAGCACCAACACCAGCAACATAGGGCAAGCCAACAACTCCCCCAGCAGCAGCAGCAGCAGCAGCAGCAGCAGCAGCAGCAGCGACAAGGGTCATCGCAGACGCCACGCCGTCCAGACAACAATGGAATGGCGGCGGCAGCGCCTGCGGCTAGGTCGACCAGGCAGCAAGAGCCTAGCGTGCGGCAGGGAGCCAACAACAATAGCAGCACAGCCGCTCCTTTTTCAACTACAGCTGCTTCCGCTTCTACAAACGCCGGAGGTACGTCCACATCTCTTCCTCCGAACCAATCACAGCCTTCTCCGTCAGCGGTGAGACCACCGGCTGCTTCTTCCTCTGCCGCTCTCACTGCTGCTTCCGTTGCTCCTAGCGGCGGGAGTGCTGCTGCTGCTGCTGCGCCCGACGGAGTGGCGGCGCTCCGAGCGCGGCTGGCGGAAGCGGAGGCGAAGAACGCGGAGGCGCTGGCGCGGGTGCGGGAGCTGGAGGAGAACAACTTCGACCTGGAGGCGGCGATGCAGGTGTGCGAAAAGGCCTTCCAGACACGTGCCATCACGTTGGTGCGGGGAAGCGAGTCGCGGCGCGGGTGTTGGACTATGTTATGCATACACACGCATTCGTCACTGCTATTTGTTATCAAGGCGCCTGAGAAATCGCTTCGTGGTGATGGACGAGAACGATGTGCTGTGTGCTGTTCATGCCCCCACATGAAGCACACCTGCAACGCCTAACCCAATCACGGGAGCCCCGGCGGCGCCTTGGATCAAGGCAGCACGGGTACGCAGCCATCTCAATTGTTACCACGCTTGTTGTCACACACACGCACATCCTTTTGTAGCCTGCGAAAAACCCGGCATGGCATATGCGAGGTCAAATGGTCTCACGACTACGAAATGCGTTTACATTATTGCTCCCCTTCCCCCCATTAGATGATCGAGGTCGAAGCTTCGCACCGGGTAGAGAGGCAAGCGAAGGCGCTGCAGAGCAAGCTTACCTTCAAGGACCACCAGCTCACCACGGCAAGGAAAGACCACACAAGCGCGGTTCGAGAGCTCAATGAGGAGCGGACCAAGCGGAAGCAGGAGTCGGAGCGGGCGCAGTGGGAGCGGGAGGAGGCAGTGGCCGCGGCGGCGAAGGCCGGAGCGACGGAAGCAGCGGCGGCGGTGGCAGCGGCGGCGGCGGTAGCGGCGGCGGCGGGAGGGCCCGCCTCTCGAGGCTCCACAAGCGGAGGAGAAGAAGAACGCCGAAGCGGCGGCGGCGGAATCGGAGTACCGCGGCCGGCCGGGCAGCGCGGCAACGGAGCAGACACGCGGCCGGCACCGGCGGCGGCGCTGGCGGAGGTGATCCTCTCGGAGATGTCGGACGACGTCATGGTGCTGCTGAGCGCCGGCGGCCGCGGCGGTGCTACAGCAGCAGGCCGCTCTTCTTCTAGTGACGACGGTTGCGGCGACGAGGACACGGAAGGCAGCAGCAGCAGCAGCAGCAGTAGCGATGATGACGACGAAGGCGATGGTTTCTGGAGCCAGGGATCCTCGTCGGACCCTTCTCCGCGACAACACCGCGGCGGCGGCAGCGATGACGATGAGGAAGAAGAAGAAGACCAAGAACCGATGTCGCCGTCCTCTATCACCGCTGCCGCCGATGCCGCTCCGGACTCGGCGTCCCCCGTGCGGCTGGCGCCGTGGGAGCACAGGCTGGGCGCGGACGAGATGGCCAGCGATAGGTTAGACTCGGACACCGCGGCCGACGGCGAAACTGAGGGGCCTGAGTTTGCTTCTAGACGCGCGCACGGGGGGGAGTACTTCTCGGATGAGG